ATTATTTTCTTTTTTACTTGGCTTCATAACAAAGCAATCTTATTTGATCTGTACAGTTATTTATGATTTCAATTTATGGGTTTAGGAGAACCATGTTTGTAAGTCTTTTTAAAAACATTTTTTCAATCTTCCCAATCTTTATTGCTATGTTGTTAGTAAGTTGAGCTTTATTTTTGTTCACAGTAAAACATGATCAGAAGTATGGGATATATACATATTTGGACAGTAAATATTGAATTTTTTACATCTGACAAAGAGCACCTACTAAATTTGCAAAATAACTGGTTACATTGTAAACCGATTTAATTTAACAGAAGACAAATTTTCATGAGTTGGTGAAAACTGCCAAATTTTGTAGCAGTGAATATTTCTCTGAGGTCCTACGACAAGAAGGGTCAGTGACTTTTGCAAAATTTTTTCTTTACCAATAAAATCTTACTGTCACAAACATTTCTAGCGCTGGAAATTACTTGGTTTAAAGTCTGTGTACCCCCTTTTATGTATTGGTGGCATCTATAGTTTATTTATAGTCCATTCATCACAGTGTGTCCAGTTATATATGTTGATATACTGTACCAACATTTACAGTTACTTATTTATTAAAACAAAATAGATACCTATAATTATTTATTTATTTATTTATTGGTTGACATTGCTGTTATTTCTAAACATTGTTTCATATATTTTGCAAGTAGTAAATGTATTATTTTATTGACATCAGTAACAATATGTCATTTGTTTTCATATTAACGCAGTGGGTCTAAATCTTGTCAGAGTGATTTCCTTAAAAATTGTTAGGTAGTTTTCAATTTTCAAATGTTTTTTGCGAAAGACATGTACATGTATGTTCTTAGCCTTTTTTTTTTATTTTGTACTGGCTATCATGTGTGGTTTGAATTTGTTGAGTGATATTATCTGCTTTTGATGCAGTAAATGCCAACATTAGTGTGTTTCCATTCCAACCATTTATTTTAGTGTAAATTTACTGTGAAAGCCTACTTCAATGGTATGTATTAGTTGATTTTGCTAAGCTGTTGTAATAGTTGATGATTTCTTTGATAGACAAACAAACATGTAATGAATTATTTTATTCTGCAGATCTCATAGTGGGTTACATGTATGTCTAAATAAGATTTGGTGATGTGTTGGCTTTGTGACACAAAAATTCAGGTATACTTATTTTGCAGATTGTATTAAATCCTGTATGAATATGGATGCACGGGTTTAAAACACATTTGATAGATTAGAAACACTGATTATGAAGTCATAGAAAATATTACATGTATCATTATCTCACTAAAACCTAAATATATTCACCCATGTTTCTGTCAAGTTACAGATTTGGTACAACTGCAGTATGTCATAACACTATTCCTCATTTATTTTTTTTGTTTCAGTAACCATGGCAGCAACACAAATGGATGAAGCTGCAAGCAGTCTGGATGATGTAATAAAACCCACCTTATCATTGGAGGATGTTAATGATTTAGTCAGTCGTCTTTACAACATTACTGCACAGAGTATAAAACAGCTAGATAGCTATGATGACCAGAACTTTCACATTGTTGCCAAGTCAGCAACTAGTAAGAGATCTGAGTATGTTTTGAAGATAATTAATGCAAACGATTCCAAAAATGAGGTTCTACTCGATGCCCAAACACAAATGATGTTACAGTTAATTGAAAAAGGCTTTGTTTGTCCAAACCCGATACGACTGCCAACTGGTGAATACATGACACTGGAACCAATTAATGGCCAAAAAGGTAAACTGAATTTTTGTATTGATGCTTCATTGCAAGATTTTAGTTACAATTGTCTTTTGACAATGTTTCCTATTGTTAAAATAGCGATTCAATGGACATGTCCATCATTTTGTTGCCGTAACTCAAAATCAAGGCTCACAAAGCGTCTATTAAGAAGAAGAAGTTCATTTTTGGCCATTTTGATGACAAGTATTTGTGCATCATTTATATCATAATAATCAAATATTGGTTTTCATAAAAACGCAATAAAATGAGTCCTTTGAATGTGTCCGTAGATAAACAATTTATTGTCAAAAATCAGATATTTTTCTACGTTCTGATGTCGACAGCTATATTTAGAAAGTAATAGTATTTTTGACATTATGTGAAATAAAAGCAATGGATGTTACACATGTATCTACATACAACACCTTTCTCTGTTGTTTTTTTTGTTTCCAGGTTGCTTTAATCACATGGTGAGACTACTTAGCTACATACCTGGTATGCTTTACAAATCTGTAGACATGACCTCTGATTTATGCTATCATGCAGGTCAGCACCTTGGTCGTATGCATATGGCCCTCAAGGTAATTGTGGTTTAAGCATCCTATTTGCAGAATCTGATTTGTGTAGGATGTATACGGTTCATCTACGATGTGTCATTTGTGTATGATGTGTATGGTTTGTGTGTGGTTTGTATGTGGTTTGTTCTGTGTATGGCTGGTTTGTGTATGATGTGTACAGTTTGTGTGTGGTTTTTGTATGATGTGTACAGTTTATGTGTGGTTTGTAGAATTTTATTACTTTATCATTTCATAATACTAACTATGTTATTCTGTTTTCTATCTAATAGGGATTTCAACATGAAGGTTTAAACAGACCTGATTTTTTATGGAATTTAGTGAATACTCATCGTCTTGAAAAATATGTAAACGTCTTCAGTGAAGAACGGCAGAAAATTATCTTGAATTTTTTTATTAAGATGTTTAAGGAAAAAGTAATACCAAAATATCCATTGCTTGCAAAAGGTTAGTACTTATATTATAGAACATGACAAGATGGCTAATTAAGCCCTGTCTGATAGAGTCCAAAATAGAAATTTGTGTTTCATGTTCTGTTCGTGTATCGTTGTGCAGTACAGTGCAGTGCAGTATTTAATAAGAAACCCTGAGATTGATATAGTACTTGTAGTATTAATTGAGAACCATGAATATTAATTAATGTTTTATGTAATTACTGATAATCTAATTGTTATTGTTTACCAGCATTAAAAATACTTTTGCCCTGCATGTGTATTTGTGTACATGTTCCCTTGTTGACTATTATAGTATTAAGGTAGAATTCTACTCATGTTTTCAAATACCCAGAATTTATTCATTCTCCAATAAATTGTACTTTACTTGTAATTAGCAATAGAAGATATTAACTTAAAAAAAGTTGGGGTCACCAGCTTAATTTTTGAGAAAAGGATGGTTGTATTTTAGTGGATAGTGGCCATTTTGGCAGTATTATTATACTGGTAGTACTTTTACCATAGGCTACTAATAATGTCATATCTTAAATTGTAGGCTGGTGGCATAGGCTGAAAAAAATGTATATTGTGAATGATGTTGTACCTTTTGTTTTTCTCCATTATTTCAAAAATATGGGTTATAAAAATTGGCAAAAAATGCAATTTTTCTTTAACATTGTGCTCTATAGAGTTATTCTACAAAAAGAGATTTTTTGAAAAATATTAGGACAAATTTCTCAAAATATTTTTTTTATATTTATCTACACATAGGCTGTTTCGTTTGATATTCTGTGAGTTCTAAAGACAGAAGAGCTACATTGATCACAAGATTACATGTATAAATAAACCATATATTCAAATTTAAGTGGACAATACAGCCTTGATGCCATGAGTGTCAACTTGATCCCCAACTGCTATCAGATGAAATTTATTTATACACATGATTTACTACTTTTGTGCAAACTCATGGAAATTGTGATGTAAATAATGTAATATAAATATTTTTTTTGATAGGTGCCATTCATGGTGATTTTAATGAGTTCAACATTCTTGTTGCTCCAAAAGAAGTGAACAGTAACATTGTAACTGGAAAATCAGGAAGCTGCACTTATGAAATATGTGGTATATTAGATTTTGGTGATGTCCAATACAATTATTATGTCTTTGATGCTGCCATTGCAATCATGTACACAATGTTACAGAGCCAGGATCCTATCACTGCTGGTGGTCACGTGCTTGCTGGATACCTGTCAACATTTCCTTTATCTGAGCTTGAGTTGGATCTAATATATTATTGTATAGGTGCTCGGATTTGTCAGTCGCTGATTTTAGGAATGTACACATACACTCTCCACCCAACTAATACATATTTACTAGCCACCCAAGAAACTGGTTGGAAAGTATTAGAATTATTGTATTCTACTTCAAAAGAGGAAATTGAAAAAGCATGGAACAAAATTGTTTCTAGTAGCTGCTAATTAAGGATGATAAGGGAAGATGAAACTTTTCAAATGTCATTTTGTCCATTGTACCAGTAATCTAACAATTCATGATATCTACTTGGAAAGTCAAATCATGTACTCTATAAAGTGATTGTCCTATTTTATTTCTGCCAGCCAATATGGGCAAGTCAAAAGTTATTAGTCACGCATGTGTTGAAACATGTACATTGTATGTTAATAGATAATTAATTCCCCCAATACACAGACCTGTAAAACATAACATTCAGGATTCAAATTTATTTAGTTCTCAACAGTACCAGCATTTTGACATGTGCAATTGCCAGTTTTTTTCAGATTGAACAGTTATAAGTGATTGTCGTCATTGACAATGTCCCATGCCTTTTTCTTGGAAACCGTTAACTCTATTGCTTTCATACATATTTTCCTTGGGTGGATCTCTATGAGATTTAACCATTTTGTGATGATATCTTCAATTCTTTGTTTTTAATGAATACTTTTGAATTGAAATATTATTTTTGACTTTTTCTTGAAAACCGCTACTCCAATTGCTTTGATACCTTGGATGGACTTTTATTTGATTTAGTTCATTTTGTGACAATAGGGAAACACTACTAATTAACATAGAGTTTTTGAATCCACAGTTTTTAAAGTTTTTGAATCCACACTTGTAAACAAAGCCGAGATTGTTTGTTTATCTACTATGATGTTTATGTAAATATGCATCTCCTTATCTGCTCTTCTAAAACAGCGGAACTATTTCGACCATCGAGTCACCTGTTTATATTTGTATTTTAAACATCCCTGTGTATTATCTAAAAATAGAACAAAATGAATAATTATTTTTGTAAAATATATAAATATATATCAAATTGAAAAAATCATATAAATTGACATGTAAATAGGAATATTGAATTTATTTTCCTTGCAAGGAGCAATAGCTAGTTTTCATTGAATAACATTAACATAGGTTTTGCATTTTGCATTATCATGTCTGCACCAACATCACACAAAATAAAATAAAAATTTAATTTAATTCCCGAAGGTACTAAGAATGATGAAAACATTTCGTTTTTTGTTGATGATAGTTTTAATATTTAACAAAAAACAACAACATAAGTTGTGTATAAACACTGGGGTTACGCTGTGCTTAAAAAGCTGATTCTATTATGTGAACACATAATAGAAATTCTTTAAATGAGACCCCTTTAGATTTTATATGTCTTTCCTTATTCATTAGGAGAACATTCTTTCATATATCTTTTTAATAGTGGACAGAAATTTTTAAATTTCTGGATTTTGAGTGCCTTGTCAAATACTTCTTTTATCATTGACATCTTAAATGACTGTAACCTTGCTTCTTAAGCTGTTTGTATTGAATCTATAGAAATGTATGCTTTTTCAGTTTGGCTTAAGTACTGTGACTACCTACAATAAAGTGAATTACAATTTCAAAAATATCCTGGAAGCTGTTAAAGTTCATGTCAAAAATGTGCCAGAAAAAGACAATGCTGACGTGGTATGCTTATCTGATTGGCTTCGTACAGTGAGAGGTAAAATTAAATCTCACATTACACACTTCATTCGTCTTTCCATGTTGTTAAGCAGTCATCTGTTTTGGATGATTTCTCAGTAATGCTGGAACCAGCTTTATTGAAAAAGCAGGCTTTCTATCACAAGAATGGTACACAAAGATGTAAATCCATTGTAATATAATTCACAATACAAGGATGTTTTAGCAGAAATATGATTGAGTAGCATAAATATACTGATCTTGTATTTGTTACATTTTCTCAATTGTTAAGTTTGGTTGCTAAGGGTCACAACATGTACAGATTGCAATTGTGTCTAAAACAATATTTCGTTAAGATTTGGTAATATTGATGTTATATTTAAACAAACATTTTTAAATCACAGTTATTGTCACTTTAGGACTAATAGTTGACGCACTATCTTTGAGTACTAAAAATGTGCACTTCATTTGGGCATGATGTTATCTCTATCAAAGCACTGTCCTATCAAGACAAACCTCGTATATCACCCATTTCCATCAAAGTTATTCTGAACATCGCAAAGGATTTGTAATTACTTAAGCAAAAGTCATCGAAACAGAATGGCTTTTCATACCACAAATATGAAAATTCAATTTGATATGATTCTGAACAGAATCTGAACAGCTGATAGGGCCATAGTATGCCGATTATTATACATATAAATGCTGGACATTATATGACATGTAAATATAAGTATATACCGGTAAATACGCTTAATAAAATGCAGTGCATCAGTGGTGCTGTGCATAGAATTATTAAAGGCGTTAATCTAAGAATTGTCAAGTTCCAAGCAGAGTTGTATCATGTAGTTGAGTTGCCATGTATAAATCTGAGTCATAATAATCGTTACTGTCTATAATATATGTGGATAGAGTGCAGTAAAACAACATGAATATAAACATGTTAGTATAATTGAATAAACAGCTGTCGTAAACTGACAAATTAGTAGACAGTGTTATAGGATGTAAACTAATATTTTAACAATACATATAGCAATCAGCACCGACAATGATATGAATAGCTCAATTTCCAAAACATTCCAAGTTTCAAATAACTTGATAATCAGGTACCATAAAATTAACGGATAAGTTTTTCATAGAAACTAGTTATTTATGTTCTAATTTATTCAGAAATCCATCGTAATCACAATTGCAATTAAAAGAACAATAATTTAGGAGTAACAAGATCTGGTCTGATCTAAAGTGATTGGAACAAGTCGATGTATACCAGTACTCTCTAGCTTAATTTGCATAGTATGTATTTCAATGATCCGTGGTACATCGTGGCCATTCCAGGATGTAAACTCGTTCTTACAATTAACTAAAAACAACATTAGTATATTAAGCCCATTTTATATGATATTTCAATCGTGTGCATGCGACGCAAAACTTAATATATTGCAAATATTTTGATTTCAATTATTTCCATGGGATAGCAAATTTAGTATTTTTTGCCAAATTTGTAATTCATTATCAGTATCAGTGTTCAAATTTTCGCGGATTAACATTATGGCATTTTACATCTGTCAAATAACGGCCAAATAAATACGTGGAATCAATTATTACTAAGGACCTGGCGTAGAGTTGGAAATTACTCCAAATAAACAAATGTCCAATTCGGGAACAGGATAATAGTATATTTGGTTATTGATGAAATAGTAGGGCGCCACCAGACGGTCTGGCTTCGCAAATGCGTCGTGTTTTTCTCATAAAGTTGACGCTGATTGTGCACAAAGGAAGCCGCTCATTCCGCCATTGGATGGTGGCACATCGTGTATGTGGTGTTTACAAAGGGGGTGTAGATGATCTGTGGTACATCGTGACCAATAATAAAATGATTGGTTGTCCAACTGTGGGCGTGTCTTTTATTTCTGTGCTAAATGTGCAACTCCAAAATCCCGCCATTTATTTTTCATGGTTGTTCGAATAGTCGTCTGCA